CAAATCTCTGGAAGAGTGCCATTTCAACCCAGGCCTCCAAGAATTCCAGCAGATAGTGTTTCAAGGGAAATTAGCAGTAAACAGTTGACAGTCATTGAGATAAGGTGTGTATTTAGCTGAATGGTTAAAATATCTGCAGCTCAGAGTACTTGGGTTTGGTGCCTGGCTCCAAATGCAGATGCAGAACCTAAGAGGCAGCAATAATGGCTCAAGTAGTTGAATCTCTGCCTCTCATGTGGGAGACTTGGATTGAGTCCCTGGCTCCCAGTTTCAGCTGAGCTTGAGAGCATTTGGGGAGTGAACCAGCAGACAGGAACTCTGCTACTATCTCTCTCTGCCTTTTGAATAAAAAATAATAACAAGGAACCGGCGCCGTGTCTCACTTTGTTAATCCTCCGCCTGTGGCGCCGGCATCCCATATGGTTAACTGCTTACTGCAGTTAACAGGACTATCGGGTTCTAGTCCTGGTTGCTCCTCTTCCAGTCTGGTTCTCTGCTGTGGCCCGGGAGGGCAGTGGAGGATGGCCCAAGTGCTTGGGCCCTACACCCGCATGGGAGACCAGGAGGAAGCACCTGGCTGCTGGCTTTGGATGGGCACAGCGCCATCTGTAGTGGCCATTTGGGGAGTGAACCAATGGGGGGAAGACCTTTCTGTCTCTCTCTCACTGTCTATAACTCTACCTGTCAAATAAATTTAAAAAATAACAACAATAAAATTTTTAAAATCACAAATCAGTTGAAGAAATTTACCAGCATGAAAATAGAGCCAGGAAGATGCAGCTTTTAAAAAGTAACCAAGAAACCCAGAAGCATAAGCAAGAAATAAGAAACTGTAAAGAATGAGCACAGACTGATTTGGGAAAGAACTTAATTGAGCTCCTAGGAATAAAAAATATTAACATTAAAAATTCAATTATTAGTTTAAAGAACTTAGACACAGCTGAAGAGAGAATTAGTGAAATAGAATAAAAGTATAAAGCAGCACCTAAAATGCAGCCCACCAAGAGTGGAAAAACATGAGTTAATTAGCAGATATGAAGAAGAGCAGACTCTTCCCTAAAATGACAGACTACAAATTGGGATGAAGCATTCTGCAGAGAACAGCTAGAAAACTTGGGAGCTGGGTGGGGGAGCCATCTACTTGAAGGCATTGTGAATCTACTGAGAATGTGATTAGTGACTTGTGTAACATACTGCCATGAAAATGATATAGCCATCTTAGTACCAAAGAACAATTTAAAGCAAGAAACATGACTAGAGCTAAAACCTCATAAATGGTTTGATTCAGTTTTATTTAGGTATGGTGATTCAGAATGTATATAGCTAATAATATAATTTCAAAATATACAGAACAAAAGAGAAATGAAAGTAACAATTGACAGATCCACAGTCATGGGGGAATGTGCTTTAACAAACTTGTTCTGTCACTGATAGCAAAAGAGAATCAACAAATAACAGAAATTTGAGCAATATGATTAACAAATGACATATAAGGAATATTTAGCAAATTACACTTGATGACTACAGAATACATATTCTTTTCAGTTGCACACAGGAACATTAAATTTTTTTTTAAATATTTAGGCCTGGGACTAGCGATATGGCCCAGTAGGTTAAGCCTCTGCCTGTGGTGCCAGAATCCTGTAATGGTGCTGGTTCTTGTCTCGGCTGCTCCACTTCCAATCCAGCTCTCTGCTATGACCTGGGAAAGCAGTAGAAGATGGCCCAAGTGCTTGGGCCCCTGCACCCATGTGGGAGACCTGGAAGAAGCTCCTGGCTCCTGGCTTCAGATCGGCCCAGCTTCAGCAGTTGCGGCCATTTGGGGAGTGAACCAGCAGATGGAAGACCTCTTTCTCTCTCCCTCTCTCCCTCCCTCCCTCTCTCCCTCCCTCCCTCTCTCCCTCCCTCTCTCCCTCCCTCTCTCCCTCCCTCTCCCTCCCTCTTCCTCTCTCCCTCTTCCCCTCTGTCTGTAACTCTGTCTATAACTCTGCCTCTCCCTCTGTCTGTAACTCTGCCTCTCAAATGAATAAATAAATCTTTTTTAAAAATTATAAATATTTAGGCCATAGAGCTATTCTCAATGAATTCAAAAGGATTGAAATCAGGCATATGTTCTTTGAATACAATAGGACTCAGCCAAAAGTTAACAGTAACCAAAAGATGAGTAATTTCATATGTATAACCTCAAGTGAAAGAACTAAGACAAAAAGAATGCATGTGTATGATTTCATTATATGAAGTTCAATGCCTAGTTCTAGATAAAAGACTAATGTTATGGAGGGATGTGACGGCAAAAAAAAAAGTACAGAAAAAGGCAAGAATATGTTAACATAAAAGTGAGGATGGTGATTGCCTGCAGGAAGGGGAGGGGCTTATTTGGAGCATCTGTAGTGTAAGAAATTCCTCTTTGTTCAGACTTGCATTGACTGTCTTAATGTGTTTATTCTTCCAGATGAATTTTAGGATGATGTCAGATTTCCCAAAAATCTCATTTGGATTTTGATTGGAATTGTGTTAAATTTGTACATTTTCTCTGAGATTATTTGCATGATTGAAATAGTGAATCTTCCTCTGTAGGGATATGGCATGTGTTTCCAGTTATTCAAGGTTTCTTAATTTTAAGATACCTTCAAAAATTTAGAGATTTTGGGGGCCGGCGCTGTGGCGCAGCGGGTTAACACCCTGGCCTGGAGCACTGGCATCCCATATGGGTGTCGATTCGAGACCCAGCTGCTCCACTTCCAGTCCAGCTCTCTGCTATGGCCTGGGAAAGCAGTGGAAAATGGCCCATGTCCTTGGGCCCCTGTACCCGAATGGGAGACCAGGAAGAGACTCCTGGCTGCTGGCTTCAGATCAGCACAGTTACGGCCATTGCGGCCAATTGGGGAGTGAACCATTAGATGGAAAAACTCTCCCTCTCTCTCTGAATCTCCTCTCTCTGTGTAACTCTGACTTTCAAATAAAAATAAATAAATCTTGGAAAAAAATTTAGAGGTTTTGGGGTCGGCGCTATGGCATAGCGGGTAAATCTACCGCCTGCAATGCTGGCATCCTATATGGGCGCCTGCCTTAGTCCTGGCTGCTTCTCTTCCAATCCAGCTCTCTGCTATGGCCTGGGAAAGCAGTAGAAGATGGACCAAGTCCTAGGGCCCCTGCACCCGTGTGGGAGACCTGGAAGAAGCTCCTGGCTTCAGATAGGTGCAGTTTCTACCATGGAACCATCTGGGGGAGTGAACCAGTGAATGGAAGATCTCTCTCTTTCCTCTCTCTGTCTCTCTTCCCCTCCCCATCTCTCTCTCTCTCTCCCTCCCTCCCTCTCTCCCCCTCCCCATCTCTCTCTCTCTCCCTCCCTCCCTCCCTCCCTCTCTCCCTCTCTCTGCACCTCTACCTTTCAAGTAAATAAAATAAATCTTTTTTAAAAATGTAGAGGTTTCTTCACATAGAATTCACATTTCATAGTAAATGCATTCTGAAGTATTTTATTTTGTTGTTTTCAAGGGTGAGTTTCTGCCTGCCACACCCCCATATTTTTTCACAAGTTACTTGCTAACATGAAGGCTATCAAATTTTTAAATTACTTTTTTCTCTATTTCAGTCACTTTTTTTTTGTTTGTTTTTGCTTTTTGTTTTGACAGGCAGAGTGGACATTGAGAGAGAGAGACAGAGAGAAAGGTCTTCCTTTGCCGTTGGTTCACCCTCCAATGGCCGCCGCGGCTGGTACGCTGTGGCCGGTGCACCGCGCTGATCTGATGGCAGGAGCCAGGTGCTTCTCCTGGTCTCCCATGGGGTGCAGGGCCCAAGCACTTGGGCCATCCTCCACTGCACTCCCGGGCCACAGCAGAGAGCTGGCCTGGAAGAGGGGCAACCGGTACAGAATCTGGCGCCCTGACCGGGACTAGAACCTGGTGTGCCGGCGCCACAAGGTGGAGGATTAGCCTAGTGAGCCGCGGCGCCAGCCTCAGTGACTTATTTTTAAATAATATATGAGCTTTTTCTTGTAGAATATGTACCAATAGTCACGTTTACTTATTATCCCTAGTTTACAGTTGAGAAAATAAAGTTTAGCAGGTAATAAGTTGCTCAAGGTCACACTGGGATTTTAATCCAAGTAGAACTGAGCTCAGAACTCTTTCTGTGGTGGAATTTTATTTTCCCTGGTAAGTTTAATTCAACAACAAATTATATAAAGCTATGCTATAGACATGAGATAATGAATATAAAATTGCTTTGAAAGATTCAAGGAATATAAATGAACTATTCAAATTAATGTGGCAACTTCACTGTGAAATTGAAAGAGTTGGAGAATAGCTGAGACTTGGCATTGCCTTTCGGTAGTTAAGGAATTAGAACTTCCCTGCTTCTAAAGCTTCGAAGATCTTCTGGGAACGTCCGTGCCAGATACCTTGTGAAGCATATATTCTCTCAGTGGGTTTTTTGGTGCGTGTGTGTTTTGTTTTTAAATATTCAGAGTGTCATTTAGGGAGCCACTGAGCACACTTCAGATCATTTTCAGTGGTGACCATCTCCAGAGCTGTTCTCAGAACCAAAAGACTGAAATGTGTCCCTTCTCTCTGTCAATGCCAATGTCATGTTGCGTATTTTTGCCACTCTTCAGTGCACAGTATGAAATAGTGAATAAAAAGATAAGTAATAAACAGCCACAGAAAAACACAGTGAGAGCCCAGGAGAAATGCTGTGGAGACGTGATGTGGGTGCTGCTGACAAGAGAGGTGGAGAGAAGTGGTCAAGTTCCACATTGGCTGGGGTGGAGGAGGATCTGCCTGGTGCCCTGCGGCTCTTTGCTCTCCCCTCATTTCCCTGTTAATCAGGGCCTGCTTGGCATTATTTTTTAAACATTAGCATTTACTCACAACAAGGCCTTGCTCTTTCTGCCTTGCGTTCTGTACATAGAAAAGGCCTACCTTCCCTTCCCTACCTGCAAACAACATCTTTTGTTTTAAACGCTGGAGAGAATGACAGGAATGCCGGGTCTCTTGCAGGAATCCTGAAGTGGGTAAAACTGATCGACAACTTTGAAGGAGAGTATGACTACGTCACCAACGAAGGGACAGTGTTCACGTTCAAGACCAATCGCCATTCTCCCAACTACCGCCTGATCAACATCGACTTCATGGATGCCGATGAGTCTAAGTGGAAAGTGCTTGTTCCTGAGCACGAGAAAGATGTCTTAGGTAAGAGGACAGACGGGTTGCTTGACACACGTGCTATTGTTTTGATGAGCATGTTGGTGAGTTGGCGCTTCTCTCATTCTCTGGTGCTTCAGCCTCTGATCACAGGGGATTTTTGCTGTGTGGCATCTTTGTAACTTAGTATGATATCAGGTGGAAGCAGAGACCCTTCATAAAAATCATGAAGGCGCGAGTTAAGACTTTGAGAGGTACTGCTTTTATAAGATCCCAGTTGTGTTTGTGTACTTACTGTCTAGTGGTAATACCATTTTTTTTACATCCATAACCCTTAGCCCTAAGCTTTTGAATGATCTTTGGCTTTTTGCATTACACCTGTTGTAGATCTTGGGGTGGGATTGCAGCCCTCTTACTGGAAAACAGAATAGACTATTGTGGGCTTTAATTGCAAACCCTTGGCATTGCTGCCTTGTGCCCTGACCTGCATTAGCCTCTTGAGAACCCCACTTCCATGTCAGTCATGCTTCAGGGTGCCTTTAACTTCTCTTTCATTTTCTCTAATTTTTTTTTCTTAAAGTGTTACACTGCTTTTAAATTATTTATTGCATGAAAGATGAATTTGATTAGAAAATGACTCACTAATTTTACAATGGTTTTTAATGCAAAAGGAGACTTCAGAACTTCTTCTGATGGGTTGAATAATAATAAAACCTAGCACCATTCAAAAATGCAGCAGTACATGGTATATCAAGCAAAGAATCCCTTTAGAGATCTGAAGCGGGGCCCTATCTCAGATAAAGCAGTTGGGTTTTTCACGTGTGTTGGAGTCAGATGGATTCAGGTTCATCTCCAAGACCAGTGAGGAACTCTGCCTGGCTCAGGACAGCGTGCCCCCAGTGCCTGGCCTTGCTGGTGAGCACAGGTCCCCATGGGTCCTTGCTGCTGGGCCCTTGTGTCTGCAGGAAGCAGTACTCTGGGGTGGTGGCTTGAGATTCTTCTCAGCCCCCGGGCATCTGACTGCACCCCTGCACCCTCTTCCTGGGGTCTCGGCACCCCTCCAGGCCCCGAGGCAGCTGCCCTCCCCGAGCTGTCCCTCTGAAGTAGTGAGTTGGCCATTTACTGCCCTCTGCATTTCCTTTTATTTCTCATGTTTGGATCAGATGCCAGTACCGTGTGTCTCAGACTGGGGTGAGAAGAAGGGAGTAACCATTTACTGCCCCCGTCTCCCCAGTAGGAGGACGAGGCAGGAGCTCTTTCCAAGGACCTCTTGGCACGTCCTTAGAGCCTTCTGTTCACTCTCTGGGCCTTACTTATGTTTGGATGAGGGATCCATGAATCATGGAACAAGTCTCTGTTTCCTTTCACATTGTCGTGCGATGAATCCGCTGTTGGTTACTTGGTTGCCTCATGGCTTCTGCCAGAGTGAGGCAGAAGTGGCCCCCGGAAGGGCAGCTGCTGCTAGCACGTGGCGAGTGCGTCCCAGGTGCCAGATTCAGCCCCTGCTCCCCAGCGTTGCTGGTGTGTCCAAATGAGGCTTGGTGGCTGGATTCTCAGGTAGGGTGCCCCGGGTACTTTCACATCCAGGTCAGGTTGGTACAGTGAGTCTTGTATAGGGCGCCATCATCATGCTGTATTTCCCAAGGCTTTGGACTTTCCTGCCATTTAGTGCTAAACAAGAGGTTTTAACTACCCCTTGAAGTGACACCCTCTGCTGCTTGTAGATCTAATGAAATGTGAATAAATGCTCGGAGATTTGGGGAAGTGATATATTTTTACAACCTTTCTGCCGAAAGATTATAAGTGCTTCAGACTGGAAAGGGGATACCTTCAATATTCCCTGGAACTCATCAATTCAAAGAGAAGCGCAGTTGAATGTGCTCTGTGTCATTAGCACAGAATGCCCTGTTGAGAATAAAAACGAGAGATGACTCATAAGGTACAGCCATAAAGTCAGAGCTTTTATTCACGCCCATCTGCAATCACCTTGTTCTTTTCGTACTCACTTTGTTTTATAATTCTGATGTACTCATGCTTACCGTAGATTGATTATCCTTTGACAGCTGTAATTTACTTCCATTTTCCCCCTGTACTTTTCTCTCTTTAAAGCGTTAAACCATGTGAAATGGATTGCCTGATTGAGGTACTTTTAAAACAGTTGTGTTGGAGGATGAGGGAATTACTGCGGGATGTGAGTTCTTCCTCTTTCCCTGCCTGGAGGGAGAGCTGGCGGTGGTGATCTGAACCGGATTGGGCCTCCTCATCCTCAGAGAGCCTCTGTTGTGTTCACCTGTCCCTTTAGTGTCTTCATTTGTGTCACCCTTCTGTTCAAACACTGGTTCCTCGGTAGCACCCGCTAATGCGCCCTCTCCCAGGCTCACCAAACGCCCCCTCAGATCCCTGTCGGCATCTCCACTCCCCCATGAAGTAAGCAGCTCTTCTCCCCATCCTCAAGCATGGCTCTCTCTGGGGGTGCGCACTGAGCTTAGCAGTTAAAATGCTGGGCAAGACGCTGCTGGTCCCGTATCAGAGTGCCTGTGTTCAACACGAGTCTCCACTCCTGACGCCAGTTTCCCATGCATGCACACCCTAGGAGGCAGGCTCAAGTGCATGGGTTCCCTCCACTCATGTGAGAGACCTGGATTGAGCTGGCTCCAGCTGGGGGCTGTGGCAGGCATTTAGATAGTGACCCAGAAGACGGGAGAGCTATCTATCATCGCTGTCTCTCAAATACATACATAGCTCAGTGCTTAAAAAAACGGATCTCACTGTTCACCAGCTTTCCTCCCCTCTGCCCTTTCTGCTGCTCATTCGTTCATTTGTGCATGCATTCCTTTTTCTCTGCCCCCAGTCCTAGCTTTGGCTCTCATTCCTGGACTCACCTGTCTTCCACCACCTAATTCCCTGGAAAGCTGTCCTGTCCTTATAATTCCCAGGCCCCCAGTCTCCACACCCCTGTACTCAAGATGCCTAGCCTAAGGGCGATCACCTGTTAGAGGTCCGCAACCAACCAGCCACTTTCCTTTGTCTGCATTTTACATCGTGGTGCCCCAAGGACAGAAATGATTTCATCTTCCCGCAGGATCTCCAGCCCCTTGCAGAACAGCTTGTATATACCAAACACTTTATAATTTGTCGCCAAATAATCACGCCTGTCAGACATGGTTCGTGATCTGGCTTTTATCCTTTTGTTCCTCTTGTCTCCTGTAGCATGATCCTGGACACAGAATAGGTGGGCAGAGTTCTTTGCAACCCACCCTTTATTTAGATCAAAAGCTCCTGGCCCAAGGGAGGCAATTTTTTTTGTTTGTTTCCCCTGGACCTAACAGCAATAACCACTTATTAAAGGAACATGCTGAGAGCTGGATGAGTGACTAAGCCCAGTTATGAAACAACTTTGCAAGTCTCACTGCTGCGCGGTTCAATATGTAGACCGTTTTCCACCTATTTTCTGAACTGCAGCAGGTTTTCTCTCTCCCTGTTATCTGCAGAGTGGGTGGCTTGTGTCAGGTCCAACTTCCTGGTCTTGTGCTACCTCCACGACGTGAAGAACATCCTGCAGCTCCACGACCTGACCACCGGTGCTCTCCTCAAGCCCTTCCCTCTTGAGGTCGGCAGCGTCGTGGGCTACAGCGGCCAGAAGAAGGACACCGAGATCTTCTACCAGTTCACTTCCTTCTTATCTCCAGGTGGGAGTCTCTTCACCGCCGCTGCCCGCTTTAATGAGCCGGTTGGTGTTTGGGTTCCTTGGGGAAACGTAAATACACTGCTATGTACTGGAAATCACATATACCATTGTGAGGCCAAAATCATTTAATGAGAGCGAAACAGAAGCTGAGGACAAAGAAACGTAAACACCTACAATTGCACTCTCATTCGTCCTGTGTTGCGAGTCTCTGTTCTAGGGGCAGGAACAACTGTTGTTCTGCATTGACTTAAAAATTAGCTCTGACAGGTGCGAGCATTTAGCCTTGTGGTTAAGAAACTGTAAAGACACCTGCATCCCATAGCAGAGTGCTGCTTTGTCTTGGCTGTGGCTGCTCACCCCAGCCTCCTGCTTCTGCAGACCCTGGGAGACAGTGGTGGTGGCTCAAGTAGTTGGGTCCCTGCCACCCATGTGGGAGACGTGGATGGAGTTCCTGGCTCCTGGCTTTGGCCCCTTCACAGTCCTGGCTGTTGCAGGCATTGGGGAAGTAAACCAGCAATGGGAGCTCTATCTTTTTCTTTCTTTTTCTCTCCATCTCTGCCTTTGAACTAAATACTACGAAATAAGAAAAATTAGTACCAACAAATACACTTTTTTCAAAAAGTTACTTATGTATCTGAAAGTTACTTCTTTATCTGAAAGGCAAAGTTAGAGAGAGAGAGATTGGTTTTCCATCTGCTGATTTATTCCCCCTTTGACCTCAATGGCCAGGGCAATATAGAAACCAGGCAATAGGAACTCCATCCAAGTCTCCCTCTTGGGTGCAGGGGCCCAAGGACTTGGTGCTTCTTCTACTGCTTTCCCAGGAGCATTAGCAGGGAGCTGGATCAGAAGCGGAGCAGCCAGGTCTTGGACCAGTACTCAAGTGGGATGCTGGGCATTGCCGGCCGTGGCCCAACCTGCTGTGATACAACACTAGCCCCCAAATAGAACACTGTGGGGAGCAATCCGGACTGGACTAAGTTACTGGAATTAAGACTTATTCTATGCATCTGCTCTCCCACAATATGGCGCTGGGAGAGAAGTAAACAGCTTCTACCCAGCTGCCTCTCACCAACTTGACAAGCTGCAGAAGCTGCTCCTGATTGGAGGAGAGCGGCGTGCTCGGCGTGTGGGCAGCCAAGTTAGGATTGGCAGAGGAGGACTATAAAGGAGGAGAGAGACGGCATGCACTGGGAACATCTAAGGGGAACATCTGAGGGAACGCCTGTGCAGCCCCCAGAGAGCCGGCCGGCGGGGTGCTGCTCCCCTGCGGAAGTGGGGAATGTGGCAGGGGGAACTGCCCTTCCACGGAGGTGGAAGGGACAGTAGCCAACCCGGGAAGAACCAGCAGCAAACCCGGGGAGAGCCGAGCAGACGAAAGAACAGCGCAGGGTCCTGTGTCGTTCCTCCACGAAGAGGGGGAGCGACAGAACACTACAGATAACAGAATCAAAATGAAATCATCGCAGCCTGTGGTGTTAAAAAGTGATTTCTAGGGGCCGGCACCAAGGTGTGGTGCGTAAAACCGCAGCCTGTGGCACCGGCATCCCATATGGGTGCCCAGTTGAGTCTCGGCTGCTCCACTTCCAATCCAGCTCCCTGCTAATGTGCCATCAGAGGATGGCAGAAGCTCCTGGCTCCTGGCTTCAGACTGACCTAGCCCTGGTCATTGTGGCCATCTGGGGAGTGAACCAGCAGATGGAAGATCTCTGTCTCTGTAACTCTGCCTTTCAAAATAAGGCTTTTAAAAAATGATTTGTAGAATAAACAGAATAAAATATGCTATTGTTAATCTAAATTAAAATATAATCCTAAAAGTGTAGTCTTATGTCCTGAAAAAAATGTGTATTGCTTGTTTCTAGTGGAAAAGAAAAAGTGCTTCTAAGTTATGATTTTTATATTTCACAGTAAACATCTCTCTGTTTTAACTTTCTTTTTTGAGTGGGTCACAGTTCGCTCTGCTGTACTTTGTGTTTCTCTCTGTGTCTCCATTTGGCTGCCCTCTGCGTCGCAGCCAGACACATTCCGTGATTTGTCCCTGGGGATGGCTCAGTTGAACAGGCAGGCCCCATCCTCCAAGGAGAGTGGCTGGGAAGATTCCTGCACTTTGCGTGCTCATTTGTGGAGCTTCTGCAGAGCGCTTTTCATCCCTCTGGGTTTAGTTCCTGTCAGCCAGTCATCAGAAGACAGAGCAGTCTTAGGGGAGAGGGAGGCAGGTGCTGATGGTGTGGCCCCGTGCCCCTCCCGGGAGGTGGCCGGATGACAGTGATGTCTCATCCACTTCCAGTGCTAGCGCAGTCCCAGAGCAGGCAGTCTATAAGGATTTTACGTGGTGACAAGTTGCTGTCAGGGCTATTAAAGCCAAAAGAAGGATGTTCTTTAAGTAGGTCTGATGTCCTGGGAAAACCTAGCAGGCCTCACTCTCCCAAGCACCCTTTCAGGGACCGAAGAGGGCTGGGAAACGTGCCCCCAGGGATGCAGACACCCTGCTCAGGGCCGGGAGTCCTGAACCCACGGTTCAGGGTGCCCTGCACCTCCCTTTGGAGCCTCACAGCAGCCAGCGGGCAGACCAAGGAAAATGCATTTGCTCCAGACAGCCTTTCTCAGCCCTGCACTGAGAGGCCTGCCATTGAGTTCCTCGAATTTGCTGCTTCCAGAAATTTTACTTGGGAAAATTTCCCATCTTGAACGGTTCAAATAGATGTAGGACCATGAGGAGAACAGTGCGAGGGTGACTCACCTGCTCTTAATAAAAGCCAGAGTCCCCAGAGGCCTGTGAACCGCCTTCAGTGACCTCATGTGGCCATTTATTTCAGGAGTAAGCTCATCATTACCTGGGGAAGAAAGGGCTCATGGTCCTCGTGTGAAACCGGGGATTCCATGCCAAGCAATGAAATATTAGCCATGCCTGTGGCTGTGAAGTTTGAAAGTAGAGTGTGTTCCTGGTTCTGTATCACCAGGCAGCTTCTGAGCAAGCCATCATTTGTTACTGTAATGTTCTGTTTGTCTCCCTCGTCCCATCTTCCTTCCATCTTTCTCTTCTCCAAACTCAGACCTTCCGGGGCCAAATCCAAAGCCGGCCATCAGTTAACTAAGCTAGAGTCTAGGAAAGCAGAACGCGGCCGTAGGTGTATTGACATGCATACGTGCACACATCCACTCAAGGCTGTCTCCCACTGGTCTCTGATGTTGGCTCTTGGCTGCTGCAGTAAATAGCTAAGGCCCTAAGTTGTACTGAAATCACTGCAGCTCCAGCTTCTCGCTCTGAGCGTGTGGCGCAACCGGCAGGTGCATGCCAGCTGACCCTTTCCCACAGAGGTGCACAGTGTAGTTGCATCTTGAGCCCATGCTGCTTGTGTCCTTTGTACCTTGAGCCACATTGGGAGCCACACTGGGAGCTGACAGGCAGCTGGGGCGATTTGGAGTGTGATGCATTTAATCCCTGTGGCTCAAACCTCTTAGTGGTTGAGCTGATTAATTCTGTGCTTGCAGAGCCTTCGGGATTGCCTCAAGTTAGCTCCAGACCAACTTGCAAATTGTCATAGTGCAGTGCGGCAGTCCCATGTGCATGGCCCTGGGGAGCAGGGCTGAGAAATCAGGGAGGCTTTTGGCCTGTTTGGAAAGGACAAACATTTTAAGAGATTTGTTCTTTTATGACATTAAAATCCAGCCGATCACCAGATAAAACAATATCTGCATGGGTTGCAAAGTTCCTTTGCCTTCTCTTTCCATGTCCAGTTTTCCAATTCCTCTGATTCTTTGGCTATTTTTCTGAGTTGTTCCTCTCTCCTAACTCGTGTTCGTTCATTCTGCATCTTCTGCCGTGATACCAGAATCCCTAGGAACAGCTCATCTCCCAGCCTCCCTCCTGATGCCAGGATGGCCCCAGGAAAGCAATGTTGTCATCAGGAGACCCCTCTGCTGGCCTCAGTGACTTCCATAACCGATCCTCTCTTCCACCCTTCAACTCTGAAATGCATTTCCTGGAGCTCACCCAACCAGTCCTCTGTGGTTCATGATCCTTCAAACCCCACCTTCCTTATTCTTATCCAACATGAGCCAATCGGATAGGATACAGTGCATCATTAGATGACAGACTCAGATTACGGTGTGATGGTGTGTTATTGGGCTAGCCAGATGGATCTATGAATAGAAAGCATTTGTAAAAATGAGTCTTCAAAAAGTTCATGGAAAATTAATATTATGAAAAAAATCTGTGCATGAGTGTCAGTTTTTTTAAATTTTTGCCCCTAATTGAGCATTTAATTTATTTCTCCCCAAAACTCTTTGAAATGTCCTCATACATGAAACACTGGTACTTGCAGATTTCACAGCCTCTCTCCCAGTACTGCTGCTGGGCCCCAGGACAGGGTAGAGATCCGGAAGCCGACGCCCTCCCTGTGCACAGTGACCTGCCCCTGTTTTATGTTTACTTCATTCTGCAGTTAGATTTGATGACTCAGCCTTTCTGGAACAACAGGGTTTGGAGTGTGTGTCCCACTCGGTGTCTTTCACTTAGGGAATTTCCATTCTAGTATTTGAGTGAATTGTCTAAGGTTGCTAAGGCAGTAAATGCCGACACTTCGAATCCTGGCTCCACGGCCTGGGTCATTTCCTGCATTGACACCAGAGGGAGTGACATGCTCAGATGGCACATGCTTGGTCTGTATTCTGTCTTGGTTTTTGGCTTGATTGCAATTTTGCAGTGTTTTGTTTGTTTTACAAAGATTTAGAGACTTGGCCGGTACCGTGGCTCAATAGGCTAATCCTCTGCCTGCGGCACCGGCACACCGGGTTCTAGTCCCGGTCGGGGCGCTGGATTCTATCCTGGTTGCCCCTCTTCCAGGCCAGCTCTCTGCTGTGGCCCAGGAGTGCAGTGGAGGATGGCCCAGGTGCTTGGACCCTGCACCCCATGGGAGACCAGGAGAAGCACCTGGCTCCTGGCTTCAGATCAGCATGATGCGCCGGCCGCAGCGGCCATTGGAGGGTGGACCAACAGCAAAAGGAAGACCTTTCTCTCTGTCTCTCTCTCACTGTCCACTCTGCCTGTCAAAAATAAAAAAAGATTTAGAGACTTTTTGTGAGTGGCACCAGAAACTAATCCAGAAGTTTCTGACAAGTAAAATGTATCTGAAAATAGTCTTTTTCCTCCCAGATTCCATGCATATAAGCAAATCCAGTATTCACTGCTGTCTGCTAACTTAGATTGCATGTTCACAGAATAGAGTTTGGAAGTACACAATTTATAAAGATATATTGTAACAAATATCCAAATATAGCTTAAACTAAGAAAGCAAATACTTCAGTCACGTGGTACAGCTTCTTACCATTGGTGCTAATCCTGCACCGTAGTATAGTAATCTTACAATAGTTTGTCCGTAAGTGTGAGAATTGGGATAACATTAATGATTAGCGATCATGGGAGGGGACGGGATGCAGCAGTTAAGTTGCTGCTTGGGACACTGCACCCCACATCAGAGTGCCAGGTCGAGTCCCAGCAACTCCACTTCCCATCCAGCTTCCTGCTAATGCACACTCTGGGAGACAGCAGATTGGTGGCTCAAGTACTTGGGCCCCTGCTATGCACGTGGGAGATGCTGATGGGGCTCTGAGCACCTGGCTTCAGCCTGGCCCAGCCAAGGCTGTCACTAGCATTTGGAATGAGCCGGTTGATGGAAAAATCTTTCTCTGTCTCTCTGCTTTGCAAATAAAATGAAAATAAACAAAGTTTTAAAAGATTGGCTGTCATCAACTGATGTATCTCTCATGTCCCTCCTTGCCTGTAGGGGGCAAAGTCTTGTTTCCCAACCATTTAGTGCACAGAGGAGATGAGAAGGGGGCAGGGCTCCCGTTTCAGTGCTCCACCAGTCAATCAAGAAGTGTCCGTGAGGGGACCAATTGGTTACTGGTTTTCCAGTGCTGGGATCGCTCATGGCTTTTCCCTATACTTGACAGCATATCTTTAAGCGCTGTGGGGAGGTGCCGTTTCACACCAGCCACTCTGTGGGTGACTGACTGTGTTTCATAAACCGCAGCAGTGCCATGGTTTTCCAATGTTAAGGACTTGTCCTTCCTTGCTTTAGTTCTCAGTGTTAGGGAGTAGTCATATGAAGTTCAGGAAGTGGAATTTTGATCCTTAGTTAAATGCATGGGAGTTGTTGGTGTCCATCAGTCCTTTTGTGTGGTGCATAATTACTAGGGTAAACCGAAGTTGGGAAAGCGGTTTAGAATGGACTGTCTTTGGTCCCTGCTTCTGTCCACTTGTGTGTTCACGAACAGGTAGATGTCCGGTGACAGGAGCCCCAGAGCGCTCATCAAGAGTCCTGTTGGGCTCCTCACCATGAGCCTGTCACCTGCCTCTCAGGTAAAATGGCCCAAAAAGTCACTGTTTCCTTGACCTGCTCTAAGTGGTCTGGTTTGGGGGAAACCTCTTAAGATTCCACAATTGGGTTTTTTTACTTTCTCCTTTAAAAAAAAATATTTATTTATTTATTTATTTGAAAGGCAGGGTTACAGAGGAAGAGAAAGAGACAGAGAGAGGAAATCTTCCTTCTGCTGGTTTGCTCCCTAAGTGGCTGCAACAGTCAGAGGTGGGCTGATCCAAAACCAGGAGCCAGGAGCTTCTTCCAGGTCTCCCACAAGGGTACAGGGGGTCCAAGCCCTCAGGCCATCTTCTGCCACTTTCCCAGGTGCATTAGCAGGGAACTGGATCAGAAGTGGAACAGCCAGAACTCACTTGGGATGGCAGCATCACAGGTGGCGGCTTAACGTGCTGCGCCACAGCACCAGCCCCTAGGTTTTTTACCCCTTCTCGTACTCATGGAATGCACTGGAATCTTATCCAGTGTTGACGGGGTGAGAGAGGAAGGTGCCATGTGATGGTGCTGGTAAGGTGGACTCTTGGAGCTCTCTGCACACCAGGCTCTGTGCTCAGCGCCTCTGCGTAGGGATCCTTGTCCTGGGGTGGCGATGAGCGGGGTCCCTGACAACTGCTGCTCTTGGCCGCTCCTGGCACCTGGTCGTACCACATGGCCCTCGCCCCCTGACATCTCACAAGTCCCATGGACTAACCTGGCCTGTGCTCTCCTTTGTAGGTATCATTTATCACTGTGATCTTACCAAAGAGGAGCTGGAGCCCAGAGTCTTCCGAGAGGTGACGGTAAAAGGAATCGATGCTTCCGAATACCAGACCGTTCAGGTACGGGGAGCCCCATCTCGTGACCGTGTCGGGGAATGGGGCTCTCAGGCTGGGCCAGCCGTGCTCCAGCTTGTCCCATTCCACGGAGGGAATCCGGGGTAACACCCAGAAGCTCCTGCTGCTGTGGCAGACTCAGCAGTGAGCCTGGTGCAGACCCTGCGCTCCTGGGGTTTGCACGTTCTGCTCCCGTGGCGGCTGCTCTCCCCAGCATGCCAGCGTTCTCTGTCTCAGGGCTCTTACGGCCATCAGAGCTGCTCTGTCTGCGTCTGTCAGTCTGCTGCCTCGGAAATGGGTTGTGTTCTGGCTTGCCATCTGCATTTCAGATGTCCCTCTGCCCGGCACTGAGAGACGCTCGGTAAAATACTTGAATAGCTGGAGGGAGGTCAGTCACTGTCAGTCATCGCAAGCCCAGCCTCTGGTCCTGGCCTTCCTTAGATAAGAATCTCTGCTTTCCATTCTTCCGCTTCCCGAGGGGACTGAGTCTTCCTGAGACTGAATTCCTGGGTGGTTGTTGATGGCAATGACTGTCGCTGTTCCTTTGCAACCAGAGGTCCCCCCTACGGCACCAGGCTCTCCCACCGGGAGGGCTGGACCAGGAAGGCCACAGATTAGGAATCTGAGTATCATTTGTGAAGAAAGATGAGAAGTGGGAGCACTGGCTGTTTCCAGGGATGCTTCTGTGAGCAGGCCGTTAGGATAACTCGGTCGCTTGTGCCTCAGCTGTCGAGGCACCACCCGGGTGACGGGCTAGACTCAGGTCACACGGAAAGCTGTGTTTACAGAGACAGGCGCTGGGCCACATCCCAACCCTTGTTCTGTATCAAGGGTCAGCAAATTGACCTCCTGCTCTCCTGGAGAACAGCCACACCTACTGCTTTACCTGTCACCGTGGCTGCTCTGACCACACAGAATGAGTCTGCCGAACCTTCCCGTGAAAATGGTATTTATTTATTTATTTATTATTTGACAAATAGAGTTAGACAGTGAGAGAGAGACAGAGAGAAAGGTCTTCTTTCCATTGGTTCACCCCCCCAAATGGCTGCTATGGCTGGCGTACTGCGCCGATCCGAAGGCAGGAGCCAGGTACTCATCCTGGTCTCCCATGTGAGTGCAGGGCCCAAGCACTTGGGCCATCCTCCACTGCACTCCCGGGCCACAGCAGAGAGCTGGACTGGAAGAGGAGCAACCGAGACTAGAACCCGGGGTGCCGGCACCGCAAGCGGAGGATTAACCAAGTGAGCCACGGCGCTGGCCCGAAAGTGGTATTTGAAATCCAAACGTCCTATGTAGTTGGCCAGGGCCTTTCTCAGGGCCGAGATCCTACCACATCCTTGCTGCCTGACACCAGGTACATCACACAGCCTTCTCTGCCACAGGGTTTTTGGTGGGACAACAGAGACGTTACAGTGGTGAGGTGCTGTGTATGAAGTGTCTGGCTCGTAGAATGTTATCTGAGAAAAAAGATAACAAGCTCTAGTTCTGCACCATCTCAAGGCGAGCCCCTGCCTTGGAGTACATCCTGTGGGGACCTGCAGCCCCTGCCTGGCGGTCCCCCTGGTCCCCCGGCTCGCGCGGCCTCATCTTGAAGATCACCCTCTCCTGCCAGTACCGCCAGGAACGCCCAGGCAGCACCCAGCAGGTGTCCCCTCTTCTATTCACAGCCGCCCTGGGGCTGGGCAGAGGTGCTCCTGAGAAGCGCCCGGCTTTTCCCCCTCTGCGGTCCCCCAACTCTATGTAACGCGTGTGCAGTAAGGACAGCCTCGAGGCAGCTCCTTAGGGGGAACTCGCTCTCCTCGGCCAGGCAGCGAGGGGTCCTTTCTCCTACAGATGGCTCGCTCTTCCTGGTTCTGATAGTTGCGATATTCTTTACAGATGGTCAGCCCATTAGCACTGCATGTGTACTGTTCTTATTTATAAATGAAGAGATGAAGCTTTGCACAGGTGCAAAGCTTTGCAGGTGCTTCGGTGTGCAGCAGCATCTGTCAGCTGTGGGCACAGCGGCCTGCTGTTTCAGGACAGAGCCGAGGGGGAGTGGGCGTGTGTGCTGCCAGTCACGTCTGTGTCCCTGGAAAACTCACGCCTGGCTCCCACCTCCCCAGGAAAATCCCCTGACATGGAGCTCCTCCAAGACTCTCACCTTTTTTTTTTTTTTAATTTGTACCATGGCAGAAGGGGGAAGAAAGAGCCGTGTAAATATTTGAAGAGAGAGTGGCTGAAGCCGACACACTGGCTTGCAGCTAGCTCTTAGTGCACTGTTGCTCGTGTCCGTGTCTCAGACAAATGGAGCCGTGCCCGTGAGCGTGCGTGGCGGTGACTGAAGGCCTCATAGCTACCGAGTGTGCACGGGGTGCCTCTTGTGCCGCTGTCAAAGCACAGCTGTTCCTTGCCAACAGGTGCCTTTGAAGTGCACTGTGAAGTCAGGGACGCGGCCGCTCTGTGTAGTGGCGCAGATTCGAGTGTAGGTGGTAGCGCTATGACAGGAAGTGAGAGCGTGACAGGTGCTCTCACGTGTTCATTAGGCTCCCGGCAGTGCTCCCAACAGTGACCTTCTCTCATCATGAACACAGGCTGCAGAGAGGGCTCCGAGCGTGAGTGGGAGGCCTCTTCACGGTGTGTAATAGGAACTGCAGCGGTTGCAGGGGGAATATCATTGATTTTTGTTTTTGGTTCCTTTAGACAAGTGGTTTAATTTTTTTTTTAATGATTTTATTTATTTATTTGAGAGGTAGAGTTACAGACAGTGAGAGGGAAAGAGGGAGAAACAGAGAAAGGTCTTCCTTCCATTAGTTCACTCCCCAAGTGGCTGCAACAGCTAGAGCTGCGCCAATCTGAAGCCAGGAGCTTCTTCCCAGTCTCCCACGCAGGTGCAGGGGGCCAAGGACTTGGGCCACCTTCTACTGCTTTCCCGGGCCATAGCAGAGAGCTGGATGAGAAGAGGAGCAGCCAGGACTGGAAACAGTGCCTATATAGGATGCCGGTGCCGCAGGCAGAGGATTAACCTACTGTGCCACGGCGCCGGCCCCAGTGGTTTAGTTTTTATGTTCATTCTGTGTGTGGTTTAAAGACTGACACCTGGGCTGTTTGTCATTGCGTCTACCTCTCTGTGTGAAGCCAGTACGTCAGCCCACACCGCCCTCCATGGCTGCTCAGCCCTAATGAGTGAGTGGTGGTCACGACCATGCACGTGTGTGAGTAGTGCTGCCTGCCTAGGGAGGGAAAGCAGACCAGGCCGAGCGAGGGAACGGCAAGGGAAGAACAGCGCTAAGGCTGTCTTTGCACCACTGTCCCCTTCCTTCAAGACCCCCGGAGTGTCCTGCCTGGGCAGGGAGAGCCAGTGCCCTGTTTGGCTGACAGAGCTGCTCTCTCTCTGGCCTTTATCCCTTCCTGATTATAGCTCTGGGCAGAAAAGTGATCTGTGTCGAAAATGCAGTTTTGAAAACCAGATCCTAGAAAAGCTGTCACTTTCCCTTCTATTCTAGAATACACAGAAGAATTTCATATTAACTAGGAAATATCTGCAATTGATAATGTCTACTCTTTCCTGCTTTTTATTGTGAATGACAGACAGGGCCACAAATAATTGATTAGAACCAAAAGCAGAGCAACAGAGAGATCTTCCATCCTCCTCCCCCACTCCCCAATGCCCACAACAGCCGGGGCTGAGCCAGGCTGGAGCCAGGAATTCCACTGAAGTCTCCCACGTGGATGGCAGGGAACCAAGTACTTGAGCCATCATCTGCAACCTCCCGGGTGCACATTAGCAGGAAGCTGGAGCAGAAGTGGAGATGGGACTCCATCCCAGGCACTCTGATATGGGATGTGAGAATCCCAAGTGGCGGCTTAACCTGCTGTACCACAACAGCCACGCCGTGTGCCAGTGTCTTTTAAAAAGAAGTTGAAATAGCATTAGAAATTCTATTTGGTTACAAGTGAACTTAACTGGAAAAAATTGTCTGCACATATAATCAGTAATACCTACATGCTTCATCTTAAACAAAATTAAGGAACAGGGAAATGGTAATTCAACTTTTTAAGTTATCAATAAATATTCATGACTTGACAGGCAATGCCAGGTATGATTTGAATAGGAAGAAACTGCAGACACAGGCACTGCCCATGGGGCGTTTACGGTCAGACTGGGCAGTAGAGACGTGGAGGGCTGCAAAGGTCTCCCCATCATCAGAGGTAGGGTTCAGCCTCAGTCAGCGCTGTGGTGTTGAGAGACCAGCTGGGCCGGGTCCAGGAGGATGTCTTCCAGGAGGGGTGGAAGATGGGCGTGGCTCTGAGGGGTGATGCTTCGTAGACCCCAGTTCCCCACCGAGATTCTCAGTCTCACCCTTACCCTTCGTTCAGAGGCTGCCTTTCTGTTGCAGTGTAGTTTTGTAATCCATGTTAAATTAGAGAAGAGAAGAGCATCCCCTCAGTACCCCGGGCGGTGGGGTGGCCTTTGGCTGTCGTCACGTGCAGATGCACAAGTGCATGGGGCTTGATGTGGCATATCAAAAGAAGGCAGGGTAGCAATGGTGCACTTGCTGGCTGTGTGTCATTCTTACTCAGCCAGCTGAGATCAGCTTTTCTCCTTCCAAAATAAAAGGCAAGACCTACAGACCTGAAAGAGCAAGAAATTGAGAATGCTATGAATAAATCCCACTAACAATAGTTTCCACATGTTATAAAGACACTAGATTAGGAGAATCCAAGTACCCATGTTTTATGGGAAGGAAGCTGAAATCAGTGTGGAAGAATAGTGAGAGTTTTTAAGTATTTAACTTCTATTTTATTGTCTTTATTCCTCTTCTCTTCCGGTATTAGGAGTTTGTCTTTTTTGAGGATTACATACTGTAGTGCATATGCTGCACCTGAGAGCATTCCTAATACAGTTTCCCCAGAAGCTGAACAGAAACGTTCAAGTTCACGGTGGTTCTTTGGGTTCACCAGCATGCCTTGGGGCAAGGGGAGTGAGTTGCTTTTGTTTCTGTTTGTCTTTAATTTCAATTTTC